CTAATTATAAGATAAATACATCCTGAGGATGTAATGTACAGCATGGTGATTATAGTTGACAATGTTGTATGGTATATTTGAAAGTTGCTAAGAAAGTAGATCCTAAAAGTTCTCATCACAAGGGAAAACAATTTTATTGGTAACTATATGAGGTAACGGTTCTTAACTAAACGTATCGTGGTAATCATTTCACAATATGTATGTAAGTCAAGTCATTATGCTGTACACCTTAAACTTAAACAATGTTGTTTGTTAATTATAGGCCAATAAAACTGGAAGAAAAAATAAAAATGAAGACATCTTATTAGAAAAAGAATTCGTAGCATATTTCCTTAGGGTCTGTATAATTTATCCTTTTCCATTTGATTCATATGCTTCTGCATTTGAATTTGTTTGAATTTTCCCCCAGAGTAGTTTTAGATCTGGTGAAGCAGGTAGGCAATTTTGGGTGAGAATTCACAAACCTTTATAAATAATTCAGCGCCTTTTCCAGACTTCCTGTCCTGTGTTAAAATTAGCCTGCATTGTAAAGTATTCTTGTCGTGGTGGGATTTGCTAAAAGGCCTCCATGAATGGCATTTCTACTCTGTTTCTTCATGCTTCTTCTGAAATTTCAAGGCCAAGAAAATGTATTGTTTGTTAAGATTCAGCTCAAAGTCCCTTCTTAGGAAATGGAGGAGTTTCTCCATTGGTTCTCTCCATCATTTCTTGTGCTTTGTGTAGAAGCCCTGGGCTCCAAGCGAGGGTCATGGCAGGTGGCTCACACCAGTGCATCTGGAAATCTGAAATCCTTCCTGAAGGTGGGAGCCTTCTCCACTCCCATCTTGCCCGTTTTCCACCACTTGCCACTCAGATAGAAAGGTCATTCTGGATGCTTCTCCAAACTCTCTCCCTACCTTCTTCATCCATCCTCTCCTACAGAATAATTCCCCTTTGACTCAACTCATTGGAGATTAAACTCGTTAAGCTAAGAGGAAGGGAAGAAGATGGGGGTCTATCATAAAAGGTAGGGAAGGTGGTGGCAGAGTCAGGTTTGGGTTCATCCTGAAAGCCCTGGAGTCTCAAATGGACACATCACATCAAACAGAATCTCATGACTAGTAAGCTTAGAACACTTATCCTCTCCCTTTTCTTGAACTACTCTACTTCTATTGATGTAGCCAAAAGGGGGTTCTTTGTGATAACAACTGATTGTTCACAGAAGACATTCTCTCAAGTGTGTTTTATATGAGCTTCAATGAAGCAGTTGTTGACAAAAATCTCTCCCATTCCGTGTTCTCATTATACATGCGTACATATATTCCGTTGTAATATATTTTATTTATTATAACATACTTATTATATATTTAAATAATTTATATATTATTTTAAATTATATTCTATAAAATACATAGTATTTATATATTATATACTTTTTTCTATGTCGTATATAAGATAACATATTCTATCATATAATATCCTATTATATATTCTATATAATTTGTATGAGGAGTGTAAGTATCAGTAATATATATTCTGTGTGCTTCTATTATTACATTTTTAATCTAAACGTAAGACTTCATATTTTTTACAATTCAGTGATACGTTATGAGAGTCCTTGCTTTTCCAAAGCATAAAGCACTCTTTGGAGCCTCTGTTTATACTTTTTTTTGGCTAATATTCTAAACTAACAATTTAAATTGTCAAGTTCTCCAGTTCTGAAGTAAAATAGGGCAACTTTCTAGCTGTGTGGCTTTGGAAAAGTTACTTGACCTCTCTGCCTCTGCTTCCTATCACATTTATTTGTTGAAAGGATTATGTAAGATAAACCATGAAAAGCCCCAAGGATGGTGCCTGACAAATCCTAAGCTCTTCATAAGAGTTAATTACAAATATTATTGCTTGGTCATTGTGTACTTTCTCCACACCTGCCTGACACATTGCAGCAGAGAGAGGCTTACCTCACAAGTCTGGATTGTAGATTTTAGGGCACATTGACTCAAATCCCAACTAATCTTGTTTTGGACTTTAGCTTTGGAGTCAGTCCAGCTACGGCCTCTCTTGTTTGTCAAAGGTCTCGTGTAAGCAGATCACTAGCATTGAAACCTCTTCCTTTTTCTTCAGCAGAGGTATGAAGCCAATAGAGCAGAGGAAAGGAAACCATCCTTATACTTCCTAAAAGAAACTCAGGAAATTATTTGAGTACGAATGGTTCTTTCTCCTGTTGTCACTCTGATGGCGGCCTCACCAAGACTTTGACCCTGAGCCTGATTCATAGCACTTATTCTGATCAAAGAGAGGGAGAGGGAAGAAAGAGGCAGGGCTGTATAACAGGTTCCCCAAACAACAACATGTCATCTCTTGTCCCTCACATTTTTATAGCACTTTGTATTTTCAAGTTACATTTGTAATACAGCTAAGTGAGACTGGGACACTTAAAAACCAAAACAAAAATGCAAATATATATACACACACACACATATATATATGTATATATATATATATATATATTTATTGCATATATATATATTTATGCATGCCTAAGCAACTGAATATATATATATATATATATGCATGCCTAAGCAACTGAACAATTGAATGACCAGTTGATCGGTTGCTATGATGCACACTGACCACCGGTGGGCAGACACTCAATGCAGGAGCTGCCCCCTGGTGGTTAGTGTGCTCCCACAGCCTGAGGCTGGCCAACCTCCTGTGGTCCCTCCCCTCGGCCAGCCTGCCCCCCATCGGCCTCAATCACCAGCTAGGCCAAGGGAGCCAACCTCCTGTGGTCCCTCTCCTCAGCCAGCCTGCCCCCCATCGGCCTTAATCACCAGCTAGGCCAAGGGACCCCACCTGTGCACAAATTCGTGCACCAGGCCTCTAGTATTTCTATAAAGAGAGTGGGAAGGGGGTTGTTATTTGTGTAAAAAACCATAGAGTAAAAGACACTGGAGGCATTCAAACTGCAAGTTGTGTTTTCTTTACTTGGAGAATGAATGAATGAATGAATGAAGACATCTTACTGCTACTAACCCAGTCATATCCCTAAACCCAATCATGATCAGCAGAGGTTGTTTTAAATACTTTTCTTCACTTAAAAACAATCATTAATAATTTATCAGTGATTGTTCCCTTTGTTTTATTTGTATTTTTTTTAATAGCTGAGGGGAAATTTAGGATGCTGAACTCAAAGTAAATATTTTGTTCATCTGTCTATCCATCCATTATCTCTCTTCATTTATTTATTCACTCAATGATTATTAAATTTCAACTACATGTCAGACACTCTTCTATGCCTCTAATGTTTGAATATAATAACAAATGAAAATAAAGAGAGCTAATATTAATTGATCCATAACTATGTGCCAGGAATCGTTTTAGCTATTTTATATACACTATGGTGTTTTAATCTCTGAAACAGCTTTATGATACACTTTGTGATTCATTTTAGAGACCAGGAAACAGACTCAGAGGGATTAAATTACTTTCATAAGATTGTACATTAGCAAGTGCTACATCTGTGCTTCCAACCCATTAGTCTGGCTCTAGAACCAGACATAGCACTAGAGTGAGGTGAGAGAGGCACCTAGGGTATAAAATTTAAAAAGACACTTGCTCTCAGGGTGGTATAAACGCTGACCCTGCACTTGCATGGCGGTGAAAGTGAGTGTCTCCTTAAATGATGTGCCCTAGGTGCCTGTCTCCCCTTACCCTGCCTTGTCTGGGTCCAGCACCCATGTTTGTAAACTCTGCCCTCTGCAGGTTAACATTCTCTACAAAATTATACCATGAAACAGAAAGGTCACACCCTGACCTGAGCTGGCATTACTCATACAAACTGTGTAGTTAAGGGTTGGAGATAAGGTAGAAATAAATAAAGTCATAACATAATCTCCACATATTATAATTAGAGAGCTATTTATGAAAGGCCTGGTATACTTGGCAAAGAACCATCAAGTCATTTGATAGCCCCAGAGCTGGAACGGGATCACTTGGTCAAACTCCTGTACTTTAAAGAAACTGAGGCCTAAAAGGATAAAATAATTCCCACAAAGTGGCAGATCCAGAATCAGCAGAAATAAAACTAGATCACTAATTTCCTAATTCCTAGTTGCAGGAAGTATCTTTCTTTGTGTGTTAGGGTTGAGTGGGAGAAGAAGAGCCACTCGGAGAAATACATATGCATTTCTTACAGGCCTTTGATTTTATGCAATCGGGGAGCTGGCCAAGCAGTGTCTGTGAGACTGTTGTCTCCCTGTCTGATCTCGAGCTTAAAGTCCATAAGCAGGCCGTGGAGAAGGGGAGATGGAGGTGATGCGGGAGAACAAAGATGGCAGGACCACAGCACGTGCTGTGCGCATCCCCACAACAGTGGACTGGAATGCAGGTCAGCTCTCACTGCCTCCAACTCGGATAATGTGGGCTCCGCAGGAAAAGCTGGTGCCCTTCACCACGGAGCTAAACACACAGCGGCCCAGGATTCAGAGACACTGAAGGAGGGTCCAGGGGAGGTGCAGCAGCGGTGGGCCAGGCACAGTGAGGTACGGTAGCATTCATCTCAGGTAGAAACTGTAATTTAACTCTAACCCTGCTGTTTGGCTTAACAATAGAAAAGTTACTTTGATTTTCTGAATTATATAAATCATCCCATTCGATTGAATGCCTTATTGATTGTAATGTGAACATCCCATTGATTGTGATCTTACTGGTTTTAGAAAGCAAATTCCTCTGTACCTGGGAACCAGGACAACACAATTATCTCAAGACCTGAGGGTTCCAAATAATGTGTTTCTGTCAACTCAGTGGTCCTTGAGAACAGAAGAGGGCTGGACCTTCTGTTCTTAAAGCAAGGTGGATTGTGTCTCCCTTAGGAGAAACATCTGATGTTTTTTACACCAGCCACTCAGGGGTCATTAGAGAAAGTCTCAGTCAGCTCCAGAAAAGACTAGCAGATCAGGAGGAGGCCCGGTGGGCGGAGAGCAACTGGTATGAAAACCTTTTCTCCTGGTCCCCTTGGCTAACTACCCTCCTGTCGTCCCTAGCAGGCCCGACAATCCTCCTGTTGCTAGATCTCCTTTTTGGCCCCCGCATTGCCAAATGCCTCCTCGATTTCATACAAAGTTGAGTACACACCCAATACTCCAGAATCTTAGAGGAAGATGCTGAATCAAGGATTTGATTCCCGTAAAAGACCAGTAGGGAATGTAATGAACGCCCCAGGGCTCAGGAACAATAGAAGGTTACAGTTAAATTAGGTCATCGCAGTCTCTGGCTCTGATGGAAAGACCACAGCTCCCTCTTAACATTTTTTTTTTACAAGCAGGTCATGGTTTAGCCAGGGGTGAAGAGCCTAACCTTTCTAAGGTATGAGCCTGTGACCTTTTGGGGGTATGATCTGTAAGCTGTGACCTTTCAAAGGTATGAGTCTGTGACCTGTGTTGAGAAATGGAGTGACAAACTTTGTGTGTGTTTAGCCAACCGTTTTGTGGTTTTTGTGAATAAAAGCTTACTTCTATATCTGGTCGGGGCTGCAGTTCGATCCTTGCTACTGCGGGGTGCTGTAACTGCAGTCGCTGGCCAGCTAATAAAGGCTCCTAAATTCTACCCTTTGGCTCTGGTGGTTGTCTCTTACGGATTGCCCCATAACAACACCCACGGGTTGAGCCAGGAGATAAGCAACAGTAAGCCATGAGCTGCAAAAACACCCATCCTGCCATTCCAAGCACAAAAAGCAAAATGAGTGCTTCTTTTTCCCACTCTCCAAGCCACACGCAAAAATGTCCCCTGACTGGAATCGAACAAAGGAGAAAATTCTGGGAGACACAGTTCCGCCTAGCCACGTGGACACAGTACAAAGCTCCCACAGTTTACCACTCAATGCTGTTGTTGCCTAACTGAGTCTCTGCTATGTGAGCCCCAGGGCTGGGCCACCCGCACATTGAAAGCCCTTTGAGCTGAAGAAGGTGGTGAAGAATAAAATGCATTCTTGATTTCCGGGAGGATGGCAGAAGTCATAGCACCAGAAGCCTCTTCTAAAAATAACAGCAGCCGAAACCGGTTTGGCTCAGTGGATAGAGTGTCAGCCTGCAGACTGAAAGGTCCCAGGTTCGATTCCGGTCAAGGGCATGTACCTGGGTTGCGGGCACATCCCCAGTGGGAGATGTGCAGGAGGCAGCTGATCGATGTTTCTCTCTCATCGATGTTTCTAACTCTCTATCTCTCTTCCTTCCTCTCTGTAAAAAATCAATAAAATATATTTAAAAAAATAAAAATAACAGCAGCACCAGCGAACCAAGTCATTCTGCATCTATGTGTGCTCTGAGGGGAAGGGAACTCTAACATCGTCTATCCCCAGGGAAGGCACCTCCCTCCCATCAGACATGGAAAGGCCCGTGCCTATAGAAGCCCTAGAACCCATCCTCCTTCCTTTAGTATCTTCTCCTGGTCGAAGGCATGCTATGGAAAAGCTCGGTGTGTCCCCTCCTTCTCCCATCTCCCACTCCCCACACTCACTTTCTGCTTCAGAAAACAGAACAATGGCCCATACAAAATTCCTTTCTCAAAAATCATTGGGTGTCACACATGAAAAGAATCTATGTGGGTCCAGTTACCTGGATGCAGGACTCATGAATGCTCACCTTCCTTGGGGCTCATCCAAGCAGTGTGGGAGGAGATTTAACTTATCGGCTTAGAATGCTACTTCCCCAGAATGGGAGAAGCCGGATGGGGTGGAGGTGGGGGGCAGGGGGAGGGGAGGAGCTCCAATACTTACTTACATGGTGCATGTCTGCCAATTTACTCAAAATCACGTGCTCATTAAAGCCACGGACGGCGTGTTTCCTGCTGTGTTGCAAAGATAAGGCAGGAGCAGTTCTGGATCCCTTTTGTCAGAGGACACCCAGCCCCCACACTCCATCCTTCTCCTTCCTATGCTAAGGAACAGGACGTTCTTACACTGAATCCTGAACATGTGTCAGTTTGTATTTCTCAAAAAGAGAGAAAAAAACTCAATGAAAATAAATATGAAAAAAACTTCTCTCCCAAAGAAGAATTTGGATGCCAGATGTTTAGTTTAATTAAAAAAGAAAATTCAATTCCTTCAACACTTAATTGCTAAAGGAATCCTAGTGTTCTGAAACTGTGGGCGATTTTTGTTATTTTCTTTGATGTTTTCGGTATTTTCTAAAGTTTCTGTGTGTTCTTTGTCAAATAAGAAACTTAAAAGAAAAATGGCATGTTTTTTTGAAACACTGACTTTTGTGGAGGATGTAGAAGGCAGCTTCTGTGGAGGAGGAAGGTAGACTGGCCGGCAGGAACCAGCTCAGGAGGGGCAGGTGAGTAAGCCACGCTCGCCCCCTGGTGGGACAGCCTGTTAGCTCCCTTCGCTACTCTATGGTTCCCTTGCAGAAAAACCTCCTTGACAGCGGTCTTGGCAATGACCTTTTGGATATGGCAACAAAAGCACAAGCAACACAAGTAAAAATCAACGAGTGATACTACATCAAACTCAAAAGCTTCTGCACATCAAAAAAACAACAATCAACATAATGAAAAGGCAACCTGTGGAATGGGGCAAAATACTTGCAAACCATGTATCTGATAAGGGGTTAGTACCCAAAAGTGCCAGGGTCCAACCCCAGCAGGTCCAGGGGTCCCAAAGGTGTGGACGGAGTCAGCGAAGAAGGAATGACACGGAGACAGCATTCAGTTGATCAGCAGCCTTGCCAGGATCTCTAGCCACAATCTCCAGCCAAGTTCTGTGTCCATGTTCTCTTGCTAGGTTCTCCAGCCAGGTTCTTCAGGTTCTTCAGCCAGGTTCTGTAGCCATGTTCCCTCGCTGGGTTCTCCAGCCAGGTTCAGTCACCAGGTTCTAGTCAGGTTCTCTTGCCATGTTCTATCCAGGTTCTGTAGCCAGGTTCTGTCTCTAGGTTCTGTTGCCAGTTTCTGTCCAAGATCTTTTGCCATGTTCTCTCCAGTGAAGTTCTTCTGTCTCTAGGTTCTGTGTAGGTTCTGTGTCTAGGTTCTGTATCCTGTTGTCTTCTTACATCTGTATTTATACCAGTTGATTCCAATCCTATCAATCTCTATTCCAAAGGTTAGGGCGTTTCTTATCTCCATTCCAGGGAGTAAAGATAATGTAGCTTAAGCATCATTGTTCGTAGTTAAAGTGATTAACTACCCACCTGGCGCTTAGTTAAGGGGTTTTATTCCCTCCCTAACTTCAGGGGAAAATCCCTACCTGGGGAAACAACCTTTCTCAGAGAGGTGGTGACCTTGGTCAAAACGCATAGTGCCAAGAAGGTGGGCAAACATATTAAGAACAGTATGCCATATATGCCAGGTCCCTTGAAACAGTAAGGATGGACCGGCTCCCGGCACAAAAGATTTAAGAAACCCATACAACTCGATAGCACACACACACACACACACACACACACTTAAAAAATGGGCATAAAATCTGAATAGACAGTTTCTAAAGAAGACATACAGATGCCTTACATATACACCCCTGTAAACCACCTCATTCCCCCTGTCTTCTGTAAAGCTTCATTTTTATAATAAAAGTATGGGTCATCTACCAGTCATTATGGATTACAATGGCCCAAAGCAGGAAATGGGGAAATGTCCCCCCACCTGGGTGAAGGAACTGCTTGGTTGCATTTTCCTTGACTCATTCATTCATAGATGACAACCTGGATCTAATTAGCCTGGCTTTCATTTTGGGCCACACCACTTTCTATCTTTGTCCCTTTCTACATTGGATTTGGGGGCAATAAAGTTAACCTTTCAAAGCCTTACCTGTGAAAAGAGGATGTGGATGTAGTTTAGAGGATCGAATGAGACACTGTGTAAAGGACTTAGCCCAATGTCTGGTGCTCAGAAATGTTGCTAATCTGATGCGCATTTCTCAATGCTCGCCTCACTCAGGTATCATTGGTACTGGCTCAGGCTACTCATATTCTTTCTTGATTTCTTTTTTCTCCACTTGGTGTCAAGTACAACACTCAATTGCCCTCCAACTTCACTGTCTTCTCAGCTTTTCAATCTTCTGAATCTCTATATGCCTCCCCCATCAGAGATATCCAGTCTCTTTAAATACCGTCTCTAAGCTGATTATTCCCAAGTTGTATCTCTGGCCTGGAATTTGGCTTTGAACACTAGACCTATAAATCCTAGTGCTGACTTTTGCCATTTTGTGCCCAGGTTCATCCCCCCTTCCTTCCTCTGCTCTACTTGTATTATGGAGGGGTCTGACCCTGCAGGCTGCATTTCTTAGGCTCCTGTGTCAGCCAGCTACAGGCTGCATTTGACCCACAGCAGGGACTGGTGGGAGCTTGGAGGACAGGAGGAAGGAAAAACCATGGCGTTTTTTAGATCCCCTCGTTCATCCCTGGGCAGTGTCTCTGGCAGATGCTGCTGCTCAGCGCTGCAACCTGTAGTCTCTGTTGACCTTATCTTCCCCCAATGCCCGAGTCCTTCCTGCTACTGCTAATCTCCATGGGGCCTCCCTAAACCCTGTTGCATTGCTGTGTAACCATTTCCTTGCCGGGAGCCGGTCCATCCTTGCTGCTTGACACAGGTGCTGCAGGGAAGAAACATCTGCACAGCTTATGTTTCAAGGGACCTGGCATATATGACATATGTTTGCTCCCCCTCTTAAGCGCTATGTGTTTTAACCAGGACCACCTCCCCAAGAAAGGTTGTTTCCCCAGGCTAGGGGTTAACAGGACTAGGAAGAGAAGAAATCAGTAAATCCCCCTAGTGTTACAGAAATACCGTGTACTACTTACGAAGAACTTGGACTAAGACTATTGGCAATAAATTTGGGACTTGTTGGGCCCACATCCCCAGGGGTCTGCCCACCAGGGAAAGCACCAAAGCCTATACCCCTGGAAACTCACTGACACAGAGCAGTCCCAGGGA